ATCCCTTTATAAATTAAACGCATTTTATAGAAGGCCTGCGCTAATGCACTCTTATGCTTTCTTTACAGAAAAAGTATGCCTTCCTCATTTCTTTACTTGGAGAGGAGGAGTATGGTTTCGTTTCAAAAATTCCCCTGATTCTTGAATAATTTTAAATCCCTCATGTGTTAGTGGTCCACCTCCGGGCGTGTGTTGCAACGCTAAGCCCCTCGCGAAGTACGTGCGCACCAATTGTAGTCTGGCTCTGGGCCAATGTCGAATGTCCAAACTGGCCAATCATCTTCGGGGATGACTCAGATATGACCTCGCTAAAGGCGCTGGACGACCGTCCCACTGCCTCACACTCGCCGATGTCCCTATTCTTCCGCCTCAGGTGGCATGAGACAGGAACTGCAGGACAAAAGAGAATGCCATATTCCATCTTGCTATCAGATCCCGTCCGTGAACGCTACTCCTAGGCGACTTAGAAGCACACTTCGTTTTCAGTTTCAGTTTATTAAGGGCAATATAGGCGAGTGCCTCTGAACTCCCTATTTGTTACAAGTCGCCGGAGAAAAACATTGATAAGTGGGAAGTTGAAAAAGGGATTTTGTACATAATCGAGGACAGCAGACAGCCAGTCGAAAAAGAGTAATCATTAGCGGTTACTTACTAATTACAAGTATAATTTGGTACCAGGTTATGTGTGGATGTGAGGCTGGTAATTGGGAAGCTTGATACGCGTCAAGTCTACACTTAAAGGAATTCACACAGGAGGGAACTGCAACATCGCTTGGCAGGGCATTCCACGCTGCAACCACTCTGTTACTGAAAAAGAACATTCGTCCATTGATCCTTGCTTTCCCTGCGCGTAGTTTTAGGGGATGACCGCGCATAGTGGGCGTGTTAGCTTTAGTGCAATAATCAGTGGGATCTAAACAACGGTCTCACATTGATAATGTGAAATGTTAGTAAAAGGTCACCACGTAATTGCCTGTAGGAAAGGGAAAAGACTATTACATGTTACCTAATTTTTCGGCAGTTTCGTCGCATTCTATAAACTATAGTAGCTGCCTTATTTGATGAAATTTTAAGCAAAATTTTGAAAGGCGTTTTCAATTAGGTTGTAAAATTGAGTGTCATGCAGCATAACTCCAGAATATTTTAATCACGACGGGATGCCGGCTTTTGAATGGGGCTGCTTTCAGGTCGCATCCAAACGCTACATTTTGTAAAAAAACGACTACATAAATGTCACGAATTATCTCTATTTGTTTTCGATGACTTTATAAATTGTAATGTTTTTTATAGAAATATGCAATAAAATGATCTTTCTTGTAGTCATCTGGTGGCAAATCGCGTCTTTTTCAAAGTCTCAACTTTAAGAAGGGGTGGGTTTCCGTTTAAAAAGTCAGTACTTATGTGATTTTCTAAGACCGTAAGCTGCCCATTAATATAGCACTAAACCTGTGCGTTTATCAATTCGGTAAGATATTGTTATGCGGCCGCACACGATGTATACAATACTGTTGGGGTTAGGGCAACTATTTCTCAACCACTCAAATTACGACCGCGCATTCCCAATAGCTTTTATTTTGCATAAAATTACTTGACCTCGTCGCCTGAGCGTTCCCCGGTCCCACCTGTAAAAATCCCTATTACCACCTGTCCCGTATAACAGGTGACTGGGGTTTGTTTACCTCAGGTGCGGCTACATAAACATATCTGACCATTAGTTCTACTTGCTAAGTATACGACATGGTCAACATCCATTAAATAATTATGAGTCCTATATGGCGTCCTCTTAATGCTGCAGAGAAAAGTGTGGTTTTTCTTATGCGAAAAGTATACAGCATACAAATTTGGAAACCTTAAACGCAAGTGCAGCTGCAGGTCCGATTTAAAATTATTCGAGAATCACGAAACGTTTTACGAACCCAGAGATAGCTTTGCTTCGAGTATAGAACTTGAAGAAGACGTGGGTTTCCACTAAACGCATGCAAGAGGGAGTACTTTTGTGCTTGTTTTCTACAAAAGATATTTCGATTCGTAAGAGCACAGGAAATTAGCGGTAAAAATGCCTACTAACTAAGTAGTCGGTTATTAAGGAGTGCAATCTAGCAGGCGGTCAGAAAAGAGCACATTTAAAGGCGGCGTCCAGGCGTGAGTGAAGTATCTTGGGAATTTGCTTAACATCTCATAAGATAGACTGTCGACTGTATTGCAGGTATAATTCATTTTCAGTTACGAGGCCCCAACTAGAGTGTTGGCTGTACTAAAGCCTTCCCCCTTACTGTCGTGGGTTCGAATTCCACCGAGGCACCCAGTCTTTCACAGTTGGATCAAAATGAATTATTTGAAATCTGTCATAACACCTATGAAGGTATACATCAAACAAGGCCGTTGCAACTCACCGATATGAGGCTGATGAAAAGGAGTGAGGGTAAGGTGGTGGGGGTGGTGGCGGTGGTGGTGGTGGGCATATCGCTCTCCATTTGGGAGAACAGGCTGTCCTTCAACTGCTCCTCTGACACCGGAGACGTCTGGTCGGTTTCTACCCCCTCAGTGGTTTCCGCCCCTGCCTCGGGGCAGAAGTCATGCAGCAGATGCATTGCGGCTGCAACGTACGCGGAGATGTTGAGGAGGGGGTTGAGGGAAGAGGATTCGGCAAGAAGACAAACGCGGACAAGAGGCACGACCTCCGCCTCCTCCTCTTCTTCTTCTTCTCCCTCGGACTCCTCGCAGGACTGAGAGACAAGATAACTGGGTCTTAGGACAACTCCGGGACGCACCGGGAACGGCCGGGAGGGCGGTGGTGGGGCGGGCTCAAACGCTGTGGAGTCGAGACTGTCCAGGCCTAGCCAGCCGCGGAGAAGATCCACCGCCGAGGCTTCGCTGGCCTTAAGGAGGGCGAGGAGTACTGACTCAAGGCCGCGGCTAATAATAAAGTCAAATAGAATATAAATAATTAATAAATAAAATGATAAATATGATAATAAATAATATGATGCATATGATGTAAATAAAGCATCAAATAAGTCCGTCCATCGAAATCGGCAGTGATCACCACTGCGTCAGAGAATGGCTGGGAATTGAGCGAATTCACATCCATTCTGAATCAGGGCCAAGTTCCAATCAAGTTAACTGCGCCGATCAACATAGCAAAAGAGGTCCCGTCTACGCGGACCACGTGAGTGTTGGTCCCTCGCTCCACGAGAACCAGAACTCACCAAGGCTGATGCCCGCTAAATCGGCCTGTTTTAGTCGCCATAAGGGTCGCACTGGGGAGACACAGTAGTTTGGTCTTTAGCCTAGTTTGTAACCTCCCTAGTCAAGACGCTTCCTACCGTGATACCTCAAAGGCGCGTCGGATTTATTACTCGGCAGAAAAGCCGTCTGGAGATGAGATAGGACACAGTGGCTAAGGTGGCGTACAGCCTCCGTCTAGAGCGTGCTACGCAGCTCTACGGCGCCCATTTAGGTCCGACATAACAACGCAGCCCGTTACAGCAGTGGACGAACAACGTGATTGTAGGCTGCATCCCTCGCGGTGTGCTGGACATCTCAGGGACCGTAAGGGTAGCATGCTCGCCAGGTTTGTCAAACTCCTGTCGAAATTTCGGCAGCATTCGCTGCCTCTGGAAATCCCATTGACAATCATTGAAGTATGTGGGGAGAAACGGGGTTGTCCTGCCTAATTAAGGCACTGAACTCTTTAGCTCGGTTCAAAACATATCCGGTGTACAATGTTAGCATCGAGCAGAATAGAACCACTTACAGCAGGGAGTTGCCATCCGATGCTGGCTGTTGTTCGTCTACTTCCGTTAACGCCAAATGGCTGGCAAAGAGATGGAACAGAGGTTGAGAATGGCGCATCAGGAGGGTGAGCATGGCCTGTGAGGGGTGAACCGTGTCCAAGAGCTGTGAAGGACAGAAAGGGGAAGATGGTTAACTCTCAGAAATCCGACTGACTTACTCATAGTTGTAGCAGCTACCATCGTCAGTTCAAGAGTTCAGTTCCAGATCAGGATTCGGTGTGATCCGTGCTTTTGATAGCCGGCTGATTTCTCAGCACCCCCCTTCAGGTCCGACCTAACCATAAATGCTGACTTTTTTGCTACTCACCACGGCCTGGCACCGACTTGGGCAGGACTTCTTAGAGGAAGAATAGCGGGCATGATCTTCAGTGGTCCAGCAGTAGGTGTCCCTGATCGGCACTGATCGAGGCACTGTCCGTCAACCGAACTCGTAGTATTCTCCGGAGGCACTAATGTCGAACACCTCCATTCCCTCAGAGTAGCGGCTCCTATGTGACATATTTCGCAGTCTTAGAGCAAGGACGGCTCTGACCGTAGTCTCGTACGCTCAAACGTTGCCTTGTGATGAACCCTACAGCGGGACTCGAGGCACGAGTTGCGCAGAGGTGTTACCAAACGAACTATCTCCTCCTACTGTTTTCCTATCAGTAGCTAAAAAAGACGGTGTCTAAAATAGTAGACCGCGACAAGGCTCTTGTCGATGGCATCTACGACGGCGTGATGCTGTCAAGCTGTACTTCGGCCCTACCAGGGTTCGGTTTCTAATCGAATTCGCAGGGAGGAAAGGCTATGCGATGTGAACCGGAGCGTCCTTCCTCAAAAAACCCAACGCAAGACAATTTCGCGGTGCGAGCAAGCAAGGTCTGGGACGAGAAGACATTGCTCTGTTCGACGTGTGCGAGATCATAGAGGGCCGTAAACAGGAGCGAGTCCGACGTAGAATTAAAGAAAACTGCTGGAGAAGCCGCCTCTTTGGATGGCGGGATTGATGGCGAAATAGTCACCCTACGGCAAATACGGCGTGGGCAACTATTTTGGTGGCTGCGAAGTTAAACTCGTGACCCATTTCGTAGGTGTGGGCGGCCACTTGTGATAATGCGCCGCCTCGTCGCACAGTCAGCTTTTGTTCGTGCATGCGCGACCCGAACATGCGCCCAGTCTGCCCTGTGTAGTTGCAAGGGCAATTTTGACACGGAATGTGATACACTACTCCAGATCGCAATTGGCCGCCCACACCTACGAAATGGGCCACGAGTTTAATTTCGCAGCCACCAAAATAGTCGCCCACACCGGAAACAAAACAGCCCGAGAATTGATTGAAGCCTGGGCCTCGAATGAGAATTTGGTCAATCGATTTACCGATCTGGCGCCGGCATGCAGAGCTCTGCGTAGTCACCTCCAGTCTTGCGCCGCCAGTCGATGATTGGCCTACATGCCTTATAATTGTCGCTTGTTCTGTTACTGCTACTACCTCTGACGATGGACTCCTGTACGAGTCTGAAAGCTCAGGACAATAAACAAAGTGTTCCAGTGCTCGACTCCTCTTCTTCACTTATGCCTACACGTGGAACTCGAAATTTCGCCTTCATTCATACTAGTGACAGTCCAGAAGCCATATTCGCCAGAATCGCTTTAGTTCGGATCTCAATGGCCACGTTGTCTAACAACGGATTATTCTGAAGTTCGAGCCCCCGGTCACTAGGACGTGTCGTATGTCACAAGCCAGATAAACAGTATCGGCCGATTCCTGGTGTTTTTATTCACAAAAGATTCGGAATTCGGGCGGAAGAACCGATCGTTAACTGGTCGAGTTCCCACCAGAGTCCCAGGGTTCAATGCCTTCATGACTTCCAGTGTTCCTAACCTGTACAGTAATTTGAGGTAGTCTGTCATCCCGCTGTGGAGCCAATTTCTGTACACGTATACCTGAGCCCCGTCTTTTTACTAAATCGAACCCATATTATATCAACTGTAATAATAAAATGACTCCTCAGGCATCTCGGGTGCCGCTATCGACGATTTGAGTCACTGGCACCACAGATGGCTAATTCATACCCACGGCTTCAATGGATGGTGGGCATTCTAGGCGTAGTCAACTTGCGACAGGGAGCACACCTGATCCCTTATCGTGTTTTTGCTGTTGTTAAATAATAAATTGTTGCTTCAAGAGTTATGCAACGGCTGTAAGTCCAACTACAGAGCGCGGAGCCGAGCTTCTCGGTCATCCACGAGTCCTGTGAAACCGTAATGCGCTGGATAGCGGTGTTGGGGGGCGGCTTCTCTGAAGAATGGTTTCGCGTAATGGCTGGATCCGAAGAAGGCTGTCTCCCTCTGTCACTCCGACACAAATTTAGGGTTGAGAATTTGCGTCGAACAGCGACAATGGTTTGCAACATTCGCCATATCGAACTAAAGCTCTCCCTTATGACCGTCTTACGGAAGACCGATTTGCGAGAATGGTGCTAAGCCACACCTGAAGACGGTACGATCGTGTGTGTGTTAGACCCGAGAGCCCGCTTAGCCCACAACCAACTTCTACTGAAGGTTGTTTGGCTGCAGGCCATTTCTGGAGGTGCCGAGTAGCGCACCGATGGGCTAACAGACAGGCTCCGTCTCCCATGGTTCCTGCCCCCCCCCCTCCCCGCCTTCCCCGGACTCATCACGAAGCCTCCAGCAAATACGCAGGCAATCCGAGCAAATTCAGTCAGTCACCCTACAGGCAATGACAAAGGGAGGCTAGAAAACTACTGGTAGAAGGCCAAATCAAAAGAATGTACAAAACGCGCTAAAAGCGTGTGTGTTTGAGGCAAATTCACTCACGTCAGCACAAAATCGCACAAGTCTTCGTAACTCGCGACTGGAGAGGAGTTCGCAACTGTCCGAGGCATCGATTGGCCCCTCCGGCTGGTGATGCGACCCTCCATCGGTGGAATTCGGGGCAATCATGCGGCGCAGGGGTCGGAGCAGGGGAGCTTCCAGGAAGAGTTCGGCACCGAGATTCAGGTTCCGTTGGCAGATTTCGTGAATTGTGTTAATCGCCAACAGATGACCTATGCGCTCGATGGCACGACGAGAGGCCTGACTATCGCCGATTTGGGTGGTGCTTCTGGTTTTCAAAAGGTCCACAATCTTTTTGGAAAATGGATGAGATAAGGATAGGGTGAAGGTCCCCAAGCATCTGTGGCGTACAAGGAATACCTACTATAGTTATTTAGGTGGGTTTTAGTCCGACACGATTATTTCGATTTGGTGTTTCATCGTACAAGGTTGGGTCGTCTGTTGTGGACAGTCTGGTGCATTATCTACAATGGCCTCAGCTCCGAGAGTTGAGAAGAGATCGTTGTGAACACTTACTGTTTATTTTTTTTTATTGTCCTGCTTAATTTCGGTTGCTATATGTCAATGCAACCCTTACCAATTATCTATACTTATTTTGCTATTCCTCTATGCGTGCATGGGCACCGCCTGTACAACCCCTATTACCACCTTTCCCGTAAGATAGGCATCTGTGACTGGTCGTTGCCATGGATGGCCGTGGTAAGCAAAAGCAAAGCAGGAATTCTGGTGTTTGCTTAAAATTTGATCCCGTTGGGACCGTGTAGGGGGGGGGGAAGACATAATCGCTCGGTAGAAAACGATCTACAGGGAGAGGGCGTTGTGAATAATAGTGCAGTGACACCTGCTTTGTATTTATATTTTGTGAGTTGCCGGATAATTTCCGTAAAACTTACAAAAGAGACGAGAAAAACCGTGCAGAAAACATAGTAGGCCCCTTTATAGAGACATGTAGGAGTAAGTCAGTTTACATCAGAAGAAATGAAGAGCATGCAGTTTGGGTCAAATGAAGATGTAGGTACTTTTTCATGAAAATAGGCTCTTCTCTGAGACGGCGGATTTGCATTTGAGTAATTCGGCATTTTCCCATAAAATGCCAGTATTAAATGAAGCGTCGCACTTGCGCTACCATTCAACTATTTACATAACCCGTCCATGAAATATGAGGAAAAAACAATTACGCATACTACCTAAGTAGCAGCATTAAGTTGAAATTTGCGGAGGTGATCAGGCAAAAGGCAGCGTGATACCCGAGAGGAAGTGATGCGTGATCACGTATGCTGCCAACTAGCAATACAACTTCAGCTACGTAATCTCTCGACTGAAAGCGCATCCAAAAATGCCGGTAACTTTTGCGTGAGTCTTTGCACTTGCCAACAATTCAAGTCAGCCTACATTTTAAAAAGCTATGGATCGACGCATGCTGCCCTCCCAAACCAAATAAAACGAAGTAGAAAAAATTGTTCGACTGGGAATGTTCGAGACGAAGATTGCAGTGTTACGAAAGCACAGGCAGTGCTAAGATGCTATTCAGGAAAGGCGTACATTGCGTGACCGATCTCATGAAATGTTGACCAAAATTCTGAAATGCGTTTTCAACAAGGAAGGATTACTTAGGTTGGGTTGTAATATTGATTATCATGTAGCATAATTCTTGAATATTTTGGACTCGCCAGGATGCCGGCCTTTAAATGCGCTTTCTCAGATCTCCTTCAGAAACTACAGTCAATAAAAATGACTATTTAGGTGGCATGCATTTTTCACAGTGATTTCCGCTGGTCTTATATATTCAAACATATTTTGTTTTTAAAAAACATGCACAAAAATATGCTTTCTCTCACGTTTTGGCAGAAAATCAAATTTCCTTCACATTCTAAACCCGAAGAAAGTGTATATTCTGGTTTTGGAAAAGTTTTCCGATTTCCGAATAATTTTGAGCTGGATCAGCCGTTGCACTAGGGTTTAGCGGCTTCAGACTACAAGGCGTATGTTTTCCACGTAAGGGAAATCATATATTCCTCTGTCTTTAAGAAGATATCATATAGAGTTCATACGATTTTGCAATGGATGCGGACTATGTTGTACATTCGTGAGGAGAACTAATAAACGGAAATTTGGATGCTGTATGTATGACACTGTGCGGTCTTAAAAATCTCATAATCATAAACTTTTTCAAACCAAAAGATAACCGTTCTTAGGGATTACAATGCGAAGACATCCTGGCAAGTCCACTAGAATTATGCTGCATGATAATCAATATTACAACCCCACCTTGTCGAAAACGCAATTCGAAATTTCGGCTAACATTTCATGAGACCGGTCACTCACTTGATATGTTAGGGCCAACGCGTGTTTTACTTTTCTATACTTACCGTATTAGATTTAGTTGATTCCTTACATTGCCGTAAGCTAGGCAGTCAACTTAACCCAAATCTCATTGAACTCGAGGCCTCCGGTGGGCTTCGTAGCCAGGTAGTTAGAACTCTAGTTGTAATCGTAGGTTCGGATCCCACTGAGGCCACTCAATTTTCCAAATTTGGGTCAAATGAAGATATAAGTAATTTTTGACGAAAATAGGCTCTTCCCTTAGACAGCAGATTTGCAATTTAGTAATGTGGCATTTTCTCATAAAATGCCAGTATTCAATGAAGTGTCGCACTTGCGCTACTCTTCAACTATTTACACGCCCCGTCCATGAGATGTGCGGAAAAACAAATATGCATGCTACTTAAGTGGCGGCATTGAGTTGACACTTGAAGAGGTGGTCAGATCAAAGGCAGCATGATGCCCGAGAGGAAGTGATGCGTGATCACGTACGCTGCCAACTAGAAATACAACTGCAGCTACGAAATCTCTCTCGATTGAAAACGCATTGAAAAATGTCGGCCAATATTGCACTGAGTCCTTGCGCTAATCAACAATTCGCGTCAGCCTACATTTAAAAAAAACTATGGATCGACGCATTCTGTCCTCTCAAACCAAAGGAACGACTGGGAATGTTCGGGACGAATATTGCAGCGTTAAGAAGTTATTCAGGAATGGCGTATGTTGGGGCCAGCACATGTTTTAGTCCTCTATAATGTTTACGGTTAACGATTCTAGTAGTTTAACGTAAACGTAAAACTGTTGGCTACTTCACAAGTAGTACCACGGAAACTGGCAGAGTAAAGAAAAGGGACAGGATCATTTACTTGTGGTGCCAAACTGCGGTAGTACCGATCCCTCCAGGCTTGATCCTTCGAGACGACCGACGAGGACTTTTCGAGCGCGGAAGGCTGCGCTGTCGTCGTCGTCGGCGGCGACGGTGGCGTTGCGAGGATACGCGCGAGCGCACCAGCAACAGCAGGGATGCGTCTCGGATCGGCGGACTGGGCGCCTCCGATGACATCCAGCACGGCCAGAATGAGGTCGTGAACCGCTGTGCCCCGGCCACTGGTAGCGGCCGCAGTGGTGGTGGTGGTGGTGCAAGCGGGCGACGGGGTGCAGTCCGTGTCAGCCTCAGCTTCAGTCGGTGCGCGCGGCTTGGCGATCAGCAGTTGGCTGATCAAACGACCACAGGCAGTCTGCAGCCAACGAGGCGCTCGACGACCTGCTGAACCTGCGGTCTTCTAAAGACGGAGAAAAAGCAAGGTATTTACTGGACGCTGGATCCGCGGCTAATGTGTCTGGGTCCCCTCCTTACCGTACGTTTCGCCACGTCAAGGACCAGCACGTCCAAGTCAAGTAAGTGGCATTATGCGCCTCTGGCATGCATCACGCTCGAGGACGCGTCTACAAGTCTTTTCACCACACGCCCAACACTGGCACCAGTTGTATGCGGTGACATGTGCCCCGCCGCCGATGCTGGCGCTGACGTTGCTGATGCAACCACTTCCGCAGTAGGTTCCCAGCACTCTAGGCTCTGGTTCAACTGCGAACCTACACTTTGGTGGTATTGTGGCGGACCAGAACCACCATCACCACCACCACTACCAGTGCGGGGGTCATCGATAAGTTTATTCGAACTGAAGCAAGGAAGACCGGCGTGGCTCAGACCTCGTCGCGTCCTCCTACACTCATCGTGTCGCATCGGTAAGAAGACAGAGGATGCGCATAGGTGCCTCTCGTGGTTTGATGACTGTCAACTTGATGAAGTGGACAGTTTTAAATACCTCGGGGCGAGGCTGCTGCCAAATGGGCAGACTAAGGATGACATTGTCTCCCGTATTGATGCTGCCCGACGGGTTTTCTCAAGCCTTGAAAAATGCCTATGGATCCGGCACGACCTCTCCATCGTCACTAAGATCTGTGTGTACCGTGCATCTGTCCGGTCTGTCCTTCCCTATGGTTGTAAATTCTAGGCTGTGCGCGTGGAGGACGAGCGAAAAGTGGAGGTATTTGACCACCACTGCTTGAGGACCATCCTTCGAGTGAAGTACATCGACTTCTTCTCAAATGAGACAGTCGGCGGTCGCTGCGACAACATGGCAAGGATAACCCAGACCATCCAAGAAAGGCGACTGAAGTGGTTTGGGCATGTTCTTCGTCGTCCACCTCAGGAGTACAGTGTTACTGCCCTAGATCCGGCACCGTTACCCGATTAGAGGCGTCGAAAAAGGGGGTCAATTCAAAACCTGGCTCGCCACAGTTCGTCAAGACATGGAGGTGGCTCTTGGGCCTTCGGTATTCAGTCTGCGTCGTTGGCGAAGAGAATGGATTGAACTGTCCACATCTACTGCCGCGAATTGCCACGCGTGGAGGAGTGATGACAGTTCGACCATCGGTTTCGATGATGTCCACCGTGTGCCCCACAGTTGCAGCAGCAATGGGAGCAGGGACGGTGACTTACGCAGGGGTTTATAGTGCCGGTAGACTTGCGTAGCATCTACCTACACTCTCTCCTCCTCCCTCGCCCGAGCCCGGTGTCAAGACAGAGTCAAGAAGACCGGAGACGAGGGAGGCCGCAGGTGGATGGCTCGGACAGTTCGGAACCTCATCAAGGTCGACTAGATCAGGCATGATCGCAGCCGTACCAAGTACAAGTAAGTACACAAGCATAATGGCCGACAAGCGACCCCGTCTGCGCGCGCCGCACGCGTACCAAAAAAGCGGCATCTAGTGAGAAATATGTCCTTACCTTGTAAC